ATAAATAGCAGGGTTCTAATCATACAAATGCAAGTCGCTAACTTTCATGTTAAAAAATACTGGTTTTTGAGCCAAAAGTTATTATACGTCGTTTGGTGGCCCCTATTGTTACTTAAGTCAAAGTGTATTTACCAGGATATTCGGGAGAATTATCAATTACGTCTCCTTACGTGCAGCCCATTCATCATTTTAGGACCACCGAAATCATCTTAGCAACAAACTTTTCGATTTATTCACTTTAATAATGAGAAAGCGAAACGACGAACGTACACTTTTCACGGGTTTCTCAGCGCTGTTACTTAAGTCAAACGGCATCTCCATAGAAATCGGGTGACTTAAGTAACATCGAAAACTATTTTGATCGGAAGGTGATTACGTCAAAAAGCAATTTGACTGGTAAATAAATTTAGAAATGGGATGTGATCCTATATTCGGACAGTATATAGTGTAATAGCAGGAGCATCGATTGACACTGATAGATCGACTTTGTTTACCTTTGTTACTTTCGACGTAATGAAAATTTGCTCTTGATTTGGCTCTAGACTCAATCCACTGATTAAATCGCTACTAAAGAAGCGATCTTTGGTAGATCGATCTTAGGGTTTTAATTTGAATTGACCTTTCTGACGTTTAAAACTTGCACACTTGCGAAATCCCATTTTCAAGTGCTTAGTTTGCTATCCTCACTTTCACTCTAGCCAAAAATGTTGGTTTGTATCCTCACTTTCGGACCATCAATACTCTTGCATATATAATGGACTATACGCTTGTTTACGTTGGCACCCCAAGAAATTCTTTCCTTTATATTATTCAATTAAATGTTGCCGTGACGGTAAGGAGCAATGAGCACAGGAGAGAGGTAGCGAAAACCTTCAAATGTTGCTGTATTTGTAAATATCGGGAACGCAAATAGTGACGTAATTGTAGGGAGCGATGCTGATGTTGACGTTATGTTCGATAAATTTATCACGCAGTCTGGGGTGAGAGTAAATCATTTTTTCGATGTCAATACAATTACAAAATTTAACACCTTTTTTTAAGATCGAAAAGATTGAAAGAAGAGATCGATTTTTCCGATCTTTTCGTGGACAAAGAATCGATCCGAAAATTCTGAAATCGGGATAAAAAAGATCGATCTTCCAAAGATCGATCCAAGATCGCCCAATCCTAAACGGGTGCAAGTTTGATCTATGTTGTCGATCGCGTTCAGAAATAACGTCAAATGGAACTCGAAAGAAGAAAAAATATTGTGCACGAACACCTGGAAAATCCGGAGTGGTCCGGTTCTAAGCTGTGCAAGTGCTGAAGATGCCGAAAACAACAGTTTGTCGAGTGCTCAAAACCTACAAGGAAATCCTGAATGTGGAAAGGAATCAGCGGACCTACGAAAAAACTGAAACCAGGGATCGTCAGCTGCGCACCAAGGTATTGGTGCGATAAAGCCAACCCCGGGATTTCGATCCGAGATGTGGCCAGAAGGTTACAACACCAACTTTCAAACGGTGCGGCACATCCTTGCCAGGGAAAGATACAAGTCGTACAAAGCCAGTAAACATCCGAACCGGCACATGAAGCAGAATTCTGTGACCAAAAAGCGTGCAAGGCTTTTGTACCACCGTGTTTCGACGAAACACAAGGATTGATTGATTTATCTTTATTTAGGAGGCTTTCAGCCTGAGGCTGGTTCGCCTCCAATAAGAAGGACTGCACTTTGATCAATGACGAAACATACGTCAAACTCGATTTTAAGCAGCTTCCCGGTCAAAAATTTTACATCTCGACTGAACGTGGGGATGTGCCGGGAAGATTCAATTTCGTGTTTGCCGCCAAATTCGCGAAGAAGGCCATGATTTCGCAAGCGATTTGCAGTTGTGGCCTGAAAATGGAACCATTCGTCACATCCTCTACGATGACATCCCAAGTTTACAGCGAAGAATGCCCGAAAAAGCGTGTATTGCCGTTCACCCGCAAGCATAGGGGCAAAGTCATCTGTTGGCCCGATTTGGCCAGCTGCCACTACTCTAAGGTGGTTCTGGAATGGTATGCTGCCAACAAGATCGATTTTGTCTTCAAGCTAATGAATCCTCCGAATTTCCCGGAATTTCGACCAATCGAAAAATACTGGGCAATTTCAAAGCAATAACTTCGACAATACGGCAGGGCAGTCAAGGACATCCAGCAAATGCGGGAAAACTGGAAGGAATGCGCTGATTCCGGGTCCGTTTCAACTGAGTGGGCGCTGATGGGCTTCACCAAGAGGAAGGTTTGAGATTTCGTTCGAACTGGAGAAATTTAACTATCTAAAGCTGTAACTTTGAAGTTTTAATTGGCGTTGACGGCACCGTCGAAAAATCGTCTCTTCTAGAAAAGATTTACAGTTTCTTATGGGACTGTTCAATGGAGTGGAGAGAGGATAGTACGAAGTCCGCCATATTTCACGCACAGTCTGACGTTTGCTTATGGATTTTACCATAGGAGTAAAGAGCTATAGCATACAGAGTACAGTACAGTAGAGTACAGTATACAGAGTCGCCGTCATCGCCAATAACACGGTACGTATGCGTACCTATTTACTTTTAGTTAGACGTGAAAATGGAGCATGTTAAAAATCTGTATAAATTCGTGTTATCTTTTAGGAACTTAAATCTCTTCGAAAGAATGAAATATTTATTTTTCGCATCATTATAGAGGTAAAAAGGAACCATGCGTGGAAAATTCGTTCACAATCAAAGCTTAAACAAATCACCAGGACTCCAAAAGTGCTGGAACTTAAACGTGTGTTCCAGCTGGGGTTCATTTTCGTGGCATATGTGGCTGGTAATTAAAGGTAAAGGAAAAGAGATTCGAATTATTTTTTTTTTATTATATTCACTTTAACACTGTTGAGTCATTCGTGACTTGCCCGGGGTGAGATTTGAACTCGTGACTTTGGCATGAGAGGTTAACCACTACGCCGGGGTCACCCCCAGATTTGAATTAAAGTATGTTAAGTTGAAGGTTATATATGTAGTATATCTTGAATATACTGATATCAAAAATCATGCAAGCGTTCAAACGCTATGAACATTTTTAAAAGTAACAGTTATTCCGAATCACCCAATTATATCATTTAGCAGGAAAAGAACAGCATGAAATATTTCAATTGTGTTAGGAAATCAAAATGTAGAAAAATGAGAAAGAGTTAGGGACTTAGGAATAATCTTAGACTCCCAACCAACTTGCATAGATCATAACAACACAATTATTCACAGGGTAAATAACATGCTACGCTTTATCAAGCACTTTTGCTACAACTTTCAGGACCCATATACAATTAAAACACTATATATTGCCTATGTGAGATCAATACTGGACTATTGCAGTCTTGTATGGTTTCCTTCTACAATCACGCACGAAGAAAGATTAGAATCAGTATAAAAACAATTTATATTATACGCCCTTCGTAAATTAAGTAGGCCTCATTTCCTCTTCCACCAAAATAAGAGCAAATTTTCATTACGTCGAATGTAACAAAAGTAAACAAAGTCGAGCTATCAGTGTCAATCGATTCTCCTGCTATTACACTATATACTGTCCGAATATAGGATCAAATCCCATTTTTAAATTTATTTACCAGTCAAATTGCTTTTTGACGTAATCACCTTCCGATCAAAATAGTTTTCGATGTTACTTAAGTCACCCAATTTCTATGGAGATGCCGTTCGACTTAAGTAACAGCGCTGAGAAACCCGTGAAAAGTGTACGTTCGTCGTTTTGCTTTCTCATTATTAAAGTGAATAAATCGAAAAGTTTGTTGCTAAGATGATTTCGGTGGTCCTAAAATGATGAATGGGCTGCACGTAAGGAGACGTAATTGATAATTCTCCCGAATATCCTGGTAAATACACTTTGACTTAAGTAACAATAGGGGCCACCAAACGACGTATAATAACTTTTGACTCAAAAACCAGTATTTTTAGCATGAAAGCTAGCGATTTGCATTTGTATGATTAAAACCATGCTAAATATGTTAAAAATTGCTATCACTATGAGATTATATGTGTTTACTTGGAAATAGGAATAACTTTTCGGTCATCAAAACAAAACTTTATTTTTTTCGGATTGGTGCGAATGTTACTTACGACATAATGAAAATTTGCTCTTGATATAAAGCACGCTGCATGCTTATAAGCATACAAACATTTAAAGAGAGTCGTGAATATGCAATGGTTTCATTTGTAAACAATATCGTTTCGCAGCGCATTGACTCAACAGAACTTTTATCAAACATTAATTTCTATGCACCTACTCGGCAACTCCCAAATCGATTTTTTTTGCCATAAATCATCATCGCACAAATATGGGTCATTAAATCGCTAGATGGCCTCTTACAATCAATACTGTGAAACCATTGACTTTACAATGTCTCGGCATAATTTAAAACAATGGTTTTACTCCATACGGAATTATAACTCACAAGAAGAAAAATAGGAAAGCAGATACTGCTTGATTTTTATATAGGACAAAATTTTATTTTTTTTTTCTTTCTTTCAAAGATTTTTTTTATATTTAAGAAAAAATGTAAATGTATTTGTACTAGTCTACGTTGATTGAAGAAATAAATAAATAAATAATTTCGATTAGAAATGCCGTTGCCGTACAACAATATTTTGAAAAATTTCAAGGACGCCATTTTGAAAATTTAACAAGATCAAAATGGCTAAATATTAGCAAAAATGTAAATCATTGCCCATAATAATCAATTACGCAATGTTACATACAAACCGAAGAAGTTCGATTCAAGAATTCAATTTTTTATCGCTATTTTCCATGGAACTGCTCAATACATAACCACAAATTTGCGGTCTTTGAAATTTTCCTTAGTTCAGTGATTGCATTTATAATATTGTATGTTTAATCATTTTTGCTAATTCATCCCACACCATAACTTAGACAAACTACTTCTGTATCCATTCCAAAATGATCATATTCTTGTCAAAATCACAATAACAAAACCTTACCTGAACTGTGACTATAAGTTCTCCACTCTTCTCTGTTTTGACTGCATATCTCTGTAAATAGAAAAAAAATTAAAGAATTCATTAGACACGCTTGTCTCCATTACCAGCAAAACCTTTTTGATGCAATCAATGCCAATTCCGTTCCTCGTATTGCCGTGAAATGAAGTAAATCTAATTTATGTTCATCTTGTTACGCCTTTCGGTCTTCATTGAACGCGTTGTTTCGCGATTATGACGAACGAAACCAATGAAAAACGAATCATCGACAACAGCAGACCCTGCCGTTGGATTAGATTTTAATCAATTAGATAGATTTCATATAGAACGCTAAGTGATTTACCCTGCGGCCCATGTTTGTGTTCTACATTTGCACCAGTAGCGGTTCCGGGGTGTGAGTGCTTTCCGGGATCCGGGATTCTTTCAGGAACAAGCACCGACTGCCAGCCTACCCATCCCGAAAAAAAGTATTGAATTTCAATCAATCGATCCGGTGCTTTCACCGTTTGCATTGTTGCTGTTGTTGTAACAATCCTTCGGCTTATTACAGCTTGTGGTACGGGTTAGCGGCGTTTGAAATTGGATGCTGGAAAGATTTCTTTTTGCAACTGCGGAACGCAGATATGCTTTTAGCGAAGCTCATAGCGATGAGAAAAGGCAACTCGCAGCATATCGTATTCCCATGCCGGGTCGTCCGCGTGGTATTCTACGTTCGTTAAATATATCTGACTTCGCTTGATTAAGTTTTACGATAATTTGTTGTGAAATTTATGCTTGTACAGGCACACGCTTGAAGTATTTTATGCGGCTGGGTGTGGACTTGATGCCATGGAGATGATAAACTATAGCGATCATTGTCGGTTTCCACTTTAGTGCGAGGCGGTATGTTGTTTGGATTTTGCTCATGATGTCACACAATGTGATTGATTGATCTAGGTCAACAGACTACGGACGAGAAGCTACTGAAATTTCAATCAACCTTTGGGAGACGTGCAACAAGTTTGACGGGAAATTTGTGATTCCACTCTATTTTGGAGTTCTGGTTGCGCTATCTATCTCTGACATATTTTCTAGAAGACGAAGATATCACAGAGCATAATGACGATAATAGTGCAAATCACGATTCGGGCCACATGTGAAAGATGAACAGAGCTGTAAATTGCCTCGTATGACTGCGAAAAACGTCACGTTATTCAATTTGCCAGTTGAATAAAAGTGTGAAAATTAGTCGCATCACGTTGGTGGAAGTTTCCAAATCGTTTCACCCTGAAGGGAGTTGATTTGAAACGCAGACGCAGACATAAGGGTGAGCTTGAATGGAGAGCTGGAAATTGAAGAAGAATGAAGTAGCTAATAAGGGTTGAGTTTGGTGGGAATTGATAGACGCGAAGTAGATGTGACAGATTTTCCATCAATGGATTCGGACGTTCATTTTCAACCTTGCATCTGGTACCTATATAGAAGAAATATAATAAGGTACACCAGAACGGTAGATATCTAAGTGGTGCGGAGTCGATCACTTTCTTTTTTCAAGTTATTTTGCTTCTTGCCTTTGTTGGCGCCTTTTTTCCAGAGCAAAAATCAAAACTCGTTCGTGACTTTCTCATTATTTTTTTGCAATTGCTTGATTTGCTAATATTTTGTAATGTTCGGAATAAGCTTTTAATTGTTATCAAGTAATAAACTGATCAATATTAAGTCAAACGTCGGAATATGCTTTTGCTGCTTTCTCTCAAACCCATTTATTTTGATGTCTAAGTTTTCTTTGTTGAGGATGTTTACAATAATTAGTGATTCTTGCAATGAATTAATCGTACTTTTTCATCGGTTTGAATAAATTTGGCCAGGCTTTAAGATACACAAGTGCAAGTATGCTTTATTACTTTACAATTTAATTTGAGGGTTGCATTTTGTCTATTAATCCTAATATTTTATATCGCGATCGAATTTTAAGGTACGTCCTGAAAGAATACAGTTATTCAGGGTGCCTTCCATTCATTTTGACTAAAAAAATGTTTTATGAAATTATAGAATAATAGGATATTATGATGACATTTTGTATGTGTAAGTAATAAGAAAAGATTGTAAAGTTTGTGTTTCACACATCAAACCTGCAAATTTAGCTTTGACAGAGTCACAATGAACGTTTTTCTGATCGCCTCTTCGCGAAGAGTGAAGAGCGAAGAGTGGGTGAGATAAATTACAAAATCGCTTATTGCGACTCTCATGTAGCAAAATTGGCAGGTATTATGTGTCAAACACAAACTTAACAATCTTTTCTTGTTGTTTACGTAATCAAAATATTTTCAAAATGTCTTATTATTCCATAATTTCATAAAACATTTTTTTAGTCAAAATGAATGGAAGGCACCCTGCAGTAATTTAATAGATCCGTTATAGTACGGTTGTGTGAAAATTGAACATAGATAGTAGAAAGCGAGCAAGGACAATTTTGAGGAAGGTACGAATCGGGTTGATCATCTCTCTTTACCAAACACCCCAGTTTGAGAGGGATGGTGAGGGGTATCCCGTCGCTTTCGACTCTCTATATACAATTTACACTCTGCCGTACTCTAACGGAACTATCAACTATATCAACTCTATACTTCCATCTCCTCATCTATCGTATAAAATGACCACTTTAAGTTTGCTATTTGACTCTTAGCATCTTCAACTATGCAAATCATTAAATAGTTAAAGTAGTTAAAGCTATTTCAATAATAATAGGCACATTCAACAGTTTTCGCTTTGTAAAGTAATGTATACCAAATAACAGCATCCAGATCTTGTAAAAACGAACAATATGTTTTGACTATAACTGTAAGAAGTATGTTTACAGAAGTTTTCAGGACAATACATCTTTGAATTCACTAACTTTACTTATCTCTCCTCATAAAGTGATACCTTTTTGTTGCTTAAATAATGTATTCCTATTCGTATACAAAATACTTCGACACGTTATGGTATTTTTGGGTGATCCATTTCTATAAATATGCACTTACCAGTAACGCTGATAGATCACCTTTTCGTGGTGCTGACAAGTTCAGTAATCGAAGAAATACATTTGCGTCCCTGTTACTATTTATGCTTTGTTAATAGTGACAAGACTCGAAGAAGTTGTCACAATTCCTGTTGAATTGTGAAGTTAATTTAAATCAAAATTAATATTTTCTAAAAGAAGGGATTTTTTCCTCTGTTCGGGACCTAACACTACTGCGACCAGTAAATTGATCTATTGTAGTATATCCCGTGTACTTAGTTTAGTGCATGTCGTATTACTCCATCACTGATGAGATATGATGAAGTATTCGATTTTTTTACAGTTGCCACTCTTGCATTTATCGCAAGGATCCGACTCTAATTGAAAGGTTCCGCTATTTATACCCTTCGGAGTGTTAAAACACCCTCCAAAGGCGCGCCCCTTTGTCAGTCAAAATTGGATTCCTTAGCAACAAAATTAAGGTATGACACCGATAATGACCATGCATCAGAACCCTAGTCTTAACCACTTCAAACTAGGGAACAACGAATAGAAGATTAGGAATCACATAGATGAAGGCAACTAACTCATTTTTTTCCTTGTTTCAAGATCATCCTCGGTTGACAAAGCCGATTCTTGTCACTATCAACTAGGCATAAAAAGTAACAAGGACTAAGATCTTACATCCCGTAACGTACCAAGAAAAGGTGATCTACCCACGTTACGGGGCAAAAGAAGGGATACTTTGGATAAGCTTCACTGGGTAAATTGCTCAGCACTAATCTGCAAGGTAAAAGTGGTTGATGCTGATATTTCTCAATGAACTCGGCGGCAAATTCGTTTCAAATGGACCCTACCGTAGCAAATGGACCCTACATATGCGTACGTGTGCAAATTTTATTTGCTTCTGTGATTTTAGTACGAACGGAGAAGGTGACTGATTCAAGAATGTTTCCTGGAATAAAATGATTATAACAACGTAATCCAGTGTCAGGTAACGAGTTCGAACCAAGAGAAAAGGTCCTGCTCGATTCTGCTGTCAAAACATGCAGAGTGGTAACTGAACCAGGAAGTCTTGGAAAAATATCCAGAGATGTGTTTGGAGACCTATGGGCACCTGAAGGTCTTTGCAAAAAAATTCTGAGACACCTGATAGCACGAGAGAATTTCTGAGAGACGGCATTTGAATTGATGGACAGTTGAAGATGTTTTAAATAATACTTGATCATCCTGAGGCATTGAAAAAAAATCCTGATAAGATGTTTGAGACCTGTGAGCACCTGAAGGTCTTTGCAATAACACTTAGAGAATCTCTGATATTTCATCATCCTGAAGTATTGAGAAAATATCCTGAGAAGTTTTTGAACACATATAAGCACCCGAATGCCTTTGGAATAATTTCTGAGACTCCTGGTAGCATGAGAAAATTTCTGAGAGACGTTATTTGAATGTTGAACTGTTAAAGATCTACAGAATAATAGTTGATCATCCAGAAGTATTGAAAAAACTACAAGGGACAGCCCTATGGGATTGTACGCAATGGTGACGTAGGACTACGTGGTCTTATATAATAAATGTTATTTTTAACTGCCTCCTAAATAAAGCTAAATTAATTAATTAATTATTTTTAACTGCAGCAGGAGCTTGTGTTTTGTGTAGGTATAGGAATTTGTGCGGGGTTCTCTCTGTTTATACACCCAACCGGTGGATGTAAGATTCGCTTACAATTATGTGGGATTCATCATCAGAGGATGTAAGTGGAGACCGCATGAACCGAGGATGCGATATACCTAGCTGCGGTCCGATGTAAGAAAATTGGAGACCGAAAAATGTGGAGTGTATTAGTGAGTGAAATTAATTATGTCGAAAAAAATAGAAAAAAGTTTGCCGACTGGACTCGAACCACGGACGTTGCGATTATCAGACCTGTGCTTTCTCCACTACTCTCTCCATGCTTCTGAATATGGTTAGCCTAAAAGCAAACATGAAGCGCTCATTTTCTCGCATGCTCGACTTCGTATGCTTTTTCTGCTGGAGAGATTCGAGACAAGTGTGTGCGTCGTTCTACAATGTT